AGGACAGTAAACTTACCTTCCAAAAGAAATATCACAAAGATCACAGTCATCTCCATGCTTCACGTAAGGTTTCTTTTTGTTACCGTCCTTGGGCTTTACTTTAATCACCCTGATTCTTTGCCCTTGCGAGTCTTTCTAAATGAATACCAAGTCTGCTTTTCTTCACGGGTTCCTCTTTTTCGATTCACTTCCTGTCTTTCATCAGTTTCCTCTGTCTAATTCTTTCCCCAAAAACCATGACCATCAGCATGTCCCTCCCATGCGCTTTACTCACAATGAGTAATCAAGAGGTAACAGGTCAGTAAATAATAACTACAAGAAAAACTTCAGATATAAACCTGTCTGTTTATTTTGGTAAATATTATAAAAATTGTAGAGAAAAGTGACACTGCTTAAACCATCCACTCAGATTTTTTTTGTTTTTCGTTTTTTCTTTTTGCCATTTAAACAAAACAAAAATAAACACTTAAAAAAATTGCATAAAGATCCAAAAGTTTTGAGTTACTCAGCTCTTTCTGGCATTCAAACACTGTAAAAGGATAAAACTAGTATATTAAATCAGGATCTGGATCAGGATTGGTCATATTCATTTCATTAGTTTAATTATGAATTACATATTTACCAAGCTACTCTATATCGCTAGTACTTTTTGTGAGAGGCTGATTGAAACCACACTACTAAGACTTACGGTGTGATTAGCCTAGAATTATCTTTTGACATTTAAACAGTTCATCTCCTCTTTAATAGGTTCGTGTTTAGGACAACTATGTACATGAAGACTGTGATAGACATGCTCTTCTAACTGGCTGAGATCCAGATGTTGGTACTGGCAGATATTTCCTAGTACATCCACATCAACATATTCACCAACGCCGAATGAGAGAGCAGACTCCCGATGCTTTGGTAGGAAGCTGGAACAGAGGTCAGGTGGTGGTGGTGGTGGTGGTAATGGTAAAGATGAAGGATCACCGCAGTTTGGGGCCGAACAGCTGCAGCAACATTGAGGCTCAGCTTTTATACCTGGCATCATAGTCTCATAGTCAGACGTTACCTGCAAGATACCAGAAGAACACTTAGAGTGAGATCATGTTTTCTTTGTGCTGAGTAAACAATGTGGCATTTTCTGCAGTCAAATTACACATTACAACACTATTGTGTATCTATAGGCATACATGGAGTATATAGATTTTGATTCATCACCAGTAACTATTTATGATTGTATTTTTGTTAGCTTAGAATGAGCCTTTTTTACAGAGCCTTCTTTAAAAAAAGATTCAGTGGGCCAGAGCAGACAAACCAAACATTACATTCAAGTGACAGCTGCCAAAGATTCTCCTACATGTTTAGTAAGGGAAAAGTGAGGACGATAGTCAGTTTGTTGGTCATCAACCTCATCCTCAACTCTGGTCCTTTTCAATTAATTAATTTATTTTAAATACATTATTGAAAAAAATAGATAAGTGGTAAAAAAATTTTTTTTTAATGAACAAGCATCAAAATGGTTTTATACTCTATGGAAATCTATTGAGTCACCACTTCTGTTTATGCCACAGTGGGGGCACAGCCCACAGTTTGAGAACCTCTGCCTTAGAGGAAGGGTTCATTGGAAATAAATACATCTTCAAAAACTACCAGTTTTTAATCAAAGCAGAGACTTGGAAAATTAAAGAAGTCATCACACAAGTAATTACACACAGATTTCAACTACACTACAGGGCAAACAAGCATATCATTCTCCAGTGTATTTTGTGAACATACCTCCATGTCAATTACTTCAGCTAATCTGAAAAAATGTCCAAAGATGTAGTGGAGATGGTGGGACATATTGTAAACGTAACAAAAAACTAAACTATAAAAAGCTTCCAAACTAAAAATCAAGACCTTTTATCAGGCCAGAGAAGTGGGCATGAGCATTAAGACACAATGCATGTGTGATCGTGACACTCACTCACACTGTTTGTGGGAATCATTTTGCTACTCATAAGATAAACATGATAACACTTTAAAGCCTGAACCATGAAATAATTCAATCCAATGTAAAAAAAAAAATGCATATATGAGTTTTAATTTGTCTTATATTGCACTTTATTGCTAAAAATGTATTTATTCATCTTCAAATCAGACTGATGCTGTATAAGTCTCAACTGTATGTATCAAACTAGATGTTAAGGGGATAAGTGAACTTTAGATTACTGTATACTTTTTGCTATGTTGGTCAAAGTGTTTTTATTTATGTTATTACAGCAGATAACTCAGAAACTTGTCAGCAATGTTATTGTTTTTGTAGGTATCTCTGCTAACACACAGCTTACATTAGCTTTAGGAAAATAGTTATCAGAAAACATTTGGCAGGTAAAGGTATTTTGTGAGCCTGTCAACTCCATGCAGTGATTTTACTATTATTTCCTTTCTGAAGGTGTGTTTTTCAGAGTAAGCTTATGACATGTTATGTTCTACCTTTATGACTCATCACTGACATCCTCTTCACATTTTGACCTGTTATTGCGATATAACTTTAGGTTTCATGAATGTTTCACATTTCATAAATGTTACTGACTAATAATGAGAAACTGCAAATGTACAGTGTTGAACCACTTTGCTGTTGCTTATCTAAAAGTGTCTGCGGTGGACAAACCTCTTTATTCTGCGGTGGGATTGATCTTCTGTGTTTCAGAACCAGTAGAAGACATAATGTGAACAGACACACAAACATGAGTGCTGCCACGCACATAACAGCAGTCAGGACCAGCGGCAGGTGGAACAACAGCTGAGGTTCATATGCTGGAACATTTACACAAATACAAATCTCAGTGCTAATAAAACAGATGAAAATACACGCGCACACAAACACATCACTTACTCTCTATTGTGTCTTCACTATTGGCTGGTATTACTTTTACAGGAAAATGAAAATACAAAAAGAGGAATTTATAAATGAGCAAATAAAATGAAAGTATGCACAGAGGTACCCCGACTTCCTCCCACAGTCCAAAGACATGCAACTAATGAGGTTTGGTTAATTTGTGATTTTAAATTGCCTCATAGTGTGAGTGGTTGGCTCTCTCTATGTGTTAGCCCTGCATGAGATTGGCGGCCTGTTCAGGGTGTACTTAAGGCCACCCTATAGTGGCTGGGATTTAGTCTCTGGCCCTCCAACCCTTGGAAAATGCATTGAAAATTCTAATTGAATTCTTATTCAATTTTTAAAAATGCTTTTCTTTTTCAAATTGCTAAATATGTTACTGCAGCGTGACTTTTTCTTTGCAAGCATGTAAACTACTGGGTGGAAAAGTTTTCATGAGACTGAAGTACCACTTCTCCTTGCTAAGAGTGAAATTGATTCTGTGCACGTGTTCAAGCCCAAAATAGCTTCTAACCACCCTGTTTCGCTGTTGGTCTGATATGCTGCTGCATCGCTCTTTTCCTTTTTTATCTTCATAAATGCTGCCATCTATTTAGGCTGTTCAGGCCAGAAGTCTCAAACTTCCAGCAGCAGACATGGCTTCCTTTCCGGTCATGTCTGTGAAATACTGGTATGTTACCCACATGATTTAGTCTTGTTTACTTCCTCAGAAGAAACCTCCAGTCAATTGACGAGAAAGTCCCTTATGTTCTGAGTTTCACTTATAAAACTATGAACGTTAAACTACACTAATGCTTAAACGGGGGGAAAAAATGTCCTTAAATACACTTGAATATTGCTTGAATGTTGTTTACATAAAAAGGAGAAAACTGAATCTGACCTTTTGTAACAAAGCAATAACACAATCAATAACACAAATTTGCTTTTGGTCAGTTAATTATACAAAATTAATTTATAAGTGTGTACTTTAAAGCTTTTCAAGATATTTTCACATTTACATAGAAATATTTTAAAAGATAAAGTTAAAATAAAAAGTAAGTCCAACTTTTCGACTCCACTGTACATCTTTATAGAAACAGAAACCTCATGAAAGCAGAACATGGAAGGGGAAAAATTAGTACGACTGATTTCTCATGAATGTCATTTATGGCCTATTATTTTTGGGGTCACAAACAGAATTCATAAGAACTATAATATTTTATTCCTGTGAATTCATCACCTTGCTGGACAGCACATATACCATCTATTTTTTAACCTTAGTTAACTTATTTAACTTATTTATTTCATCTCAGTTGAGGTTGTCCTATGAGACAATTCCCACTAGCCAGAAACCAGTCTGCTCTGAGTAGTTGAAATATGCATAACTGGAGACCATATTTAGCCAGCCAGCTGAGAACTGTGGTGTAAACATTTATACTGTACCTTGGGAAACATTCAGTTTTATGGCGCTGTGATAATCAGGTTGGAGGCTGATATCCACTCCACACTGATACGTCCCACTGTCATTTAACCTCAGTTTATCCACCTTGACAATGAAGAAGCTTCCAGTGGTGTTGTCGTACATGGAGAAGCGTCCTTTGGTCTCCCACCGGTTATGTTTGTCTGTCATTATCAAGTAACTGGAGCATTCATCAATACGGCACAAGTACTTCAAATTCTCCGTCAGGCCATTTGGATATTCACATCTGAAGACAAAACTCTCACCTTCCACACCAGAAAAAACTGTGGTTTTGGTGCCAATTACTGCTGTCATAAAACATTGGTGTTAGTTACACATTTTAATTATTTTTGTAATAAGCAGACTAGTACTAGGTTTTAAATCTAAATAATATAAAACTCACCTTGGATGTGTAGTATAGTAATAATGACAGCTGTAGTTATTCTCCATGAGTCAAAGATGGTTCCCATTACTTCCAATTTACCTTCAGGCCAGAGTCAGGTTCTCCCCTCAGCCACTGAAGAAGGTAACAACCTGGACTAATGATTGTCTCCCTGTGTTCAGTCAGGTGCTTTCATGGTCATGGCTTTAAAACTCTTCCTCTTTCATGTAAAAAACTGTACACCCATAACATTCAACCACTGCAGGAAGCGGTTTCATTTTTTATAATAAACCAACTGTGCACCAGTTATTCAGCACGTTTAGTGACTGTTGAACTTTCTTCAGCATTAAGCAGGTAGAGAGACTTTATATTTTTCATAGAGATGGTAAAAGAAACTAATGTTGGACTAAAATTTGGTAGGTTCTTGGAAATATTTTCCATATAGCCCGTTACTCCCAAGTGGACCCCCCCCCC